TTTTTTTTTTTTGCTATTGGGGTGGGACTAAGTCTCTTGCACTGCGGCCACTTCTGGCCTGTTGTACCAGCCCGAGATGCTAGGTGAGGGTGATTGTGGAGCAATTTCTGGAATGAAGATTGGAGGGGAAACCGAAGTACTCGGAGAAAACTTGCACCAGCGCCACTTTCTCCACCACAAATCCCACTTGACCAGACACAGGATTGAACCCGGGCCGCCGCGGAGGGAAGCCAGCGACTAACCGCTTGAGCTATGACGCGACCTGCATTTACAATTACTTCTTTTCGTGCTTCAATAGATTGATTTCATTTTCCTTGCTCCTCTGATTTCCCCCACCCATGCGTAACACAAGTGATCCGGAACAGGTTGTAACCTATTCGGCGTTGAACCCAAGTACTCCCAGCTCAGATGGTACTGATTATCCTGCCACATTACATCTAGTTTTACTTTAACCCCGCCTATATTCCTTCATGACGTGGTGCCTAGGCACAGTAAGCAGCCGTATATTGTGCAGTTGAATCAGAATTTCAAATAATTAGGGCATATAAGAAATACCGTCATTATAACTTTTCACGAATTATCTAGGAGTAAACATTCCTTTCCTGTCCCACCCTTTGGGAAGTAATCGGTAAACACTCTGCCACTCAAAAATCTTAGATATCTAAATATATAGAGAGTGTCCCAGGAGGAAAGATCAATATTCTGGGAGGTTATAGTATCGACCATCTAAGTAAGAGTGTATACATGCATGTGTCCTATTCCATAAATTTCAGAGATAGAGCTATTTCACTGCACAGTACACTGTACAGACGACCAAAACACAATGTCCTCACACGAGTTGCAAAGTGTATTGATGTTGACGGTGAAATTTTCGATGATGTATTGTACTAGGTAAACTATACCAACTTTGTCACTTCAACAATAAAAACCGGTATTAGAAACATCACGTAATATCTCTTTCTTATCAACAATTTTGGAACCGTACAGTTAATAGCTCTATCTCGGAAACCGTTCGGAATAGGATAAATGTACATATACTTTAGAATGACCGATATTATGAACTCCCAGAATATTGACCTTTCCTCCTGGGACACCCAGGATAAGATGCCGAAGGTCGTGGTTGAGTAGTGAGCACTCGTCTTTCAAATTGTGGAGGTCCTGGATTAAAATCTCGGCTCAGGGACCGACTATCCTGAATGAGGATTTCGTAGGGCTTTTCAGTCTCTCCCGGAAAATATCTGATAAGTACCTCAAATCAGGTAACGGCCGCTTCCTAATATATATCTTCTCCAACTCATTCGCTAACCATCATATATCCTCTAGATTATTTGAGATGTTGACAGCATCATTAATAAATCATAACTAAGTAAATAAATTATATTAATAATATTGCTATAACGAAATGAAATACTTCAGGACTGATCTTCTGTGAAGGAGCACGGATGGCGCAGTCAGTATAGCGACTGGCTACAGGCTTGACTACCAAGGGGTCGCAGTTCGAGTCCCGCTACGGAGAAGAATTTCCTCTTCTCCACATCGTCCAGACTGGCTCTGGGGTCCACCCAGCCTCCTATCCAATGGGTATCGGGGGATTTTTCCCCGGGGGAAAGGGGCCGGGGCGTCAAGCTGACCACTCACCTCCAACTAATGCCGAGGTCAAGAGAACTTGGATCTATACACCCACTCCACCATACGTCTTCATAGCGTGGTGCTTAATTAGTTAAGCATAGGAACAACTTTGCCTTTTGCCTTTTACCGTTTACGGCGTTGGAGATATTCCGCTATTGTTTACGAATTCCTTGCAATTTTCCTCTTGGCTGGCGGGCATGAGGCAGCGTGTACGTAACACAGCCTTCCGGGCGGGACAGTGACGTGAGCCTGCTGTAACACACTTAAAGGTAACCTAATTTAGCCGTCCATAGACAGCCACTTCAGTGAATGATCTCTCACTAATCCAATATCCTGGATAAGCGGTGCGTTGTGTTCGGACATCAACAATGCAATCATTTTCTAGATAGGTTTACGCTTCTTTATTGATTTTGACTAAAAGCCTACTTTATGTTACATGATATCCTGTCTCATGTATAACCATACATGAAAGAAGCAAACTGTTACATGTGTAATAGTAGTTATAACAAGATTTCAATTGTTAAGATCCTATTATAACTATTCGATTGCCCAAAGGAGTATATTCTTACAATATGTTTAAGTTGTTAATTCAGCCCGCCACAAACACATACAGGACAACACCAAAGAACCCTCTTCTCGAGAACGACAGGGGGGGCACACATTCGGCCCCCTTCAAAAGAAATAATAAGAAGGACGGCACGAACCAGCTTGGTCTACGAATTCCAATAGAATTTTAACAAACTAACTATAAATATTTTAAAGTATTGGAACAACCTCTGTAGTTGTACGTGTATATTTTAACTTTTAGAACATGTAATGTAATAGTGGCTTCTAAGTTATTGATGTAAAAGTGTTCCTCTGAAGATGGTCTCTGAAGACCGAAACATGTAAGGGCGTGAATAATTGAAATAAGAAAATCTTAACTAGTCACACTGAAGGGAACTATTTAGCTTTTTCATATAAGTTTTCCTACGAAAATTTCAAAGTTTATTTTTAAGAGTAAAGGTTAATATTCACTGAGTACAAATTTATTTATAATAAAAATCCCATATTTAAGTACAATTATTTATTTAACTATTTGCTCGTTTTATATAACACCCACGTATATTCAAATGCTTAAATATGAACAACAAATAAATTAAGTTTTAAAAATATTTGATATTTAGTTGTTTTAAGGCCCTACTAGGGCACGTGGTAGCGTAGTTGGTTCAGGCACTATACTATAAAACGGAAGGTCGCGGATTTGATTCCCGATGAGGTCATTGAATTTTCCATTCGCCTAATCCTTCCACCCGCACTTTGGCCCTGGGATCGACTCAGCGTCTAATAGAAATGAGTACCAGAAATCTTCCTGTGGGTAAAGGGCGGCCGGCGAGTAAGGCTAACAGCCTCACTGTCA